AGGCGAGACCACCCGCTGAATTTAAGCATATTACTAAGCGGAGGAAAAGAAAACAACCGTGATTCCTTTGGTAGCGGCGAGCGACCAAGGAAAAGCCCAGGCTTGAAATCCGAGGGCCCCCGGCCCTCCGAATTGTAGTCTGAAAAGGAAGCGTTCTCTGTGACGGGCGCCGCCTTAAGTCCACTGGAAAGTGGCGGCAGAGAGGGTGACACCCCCGTCGGGCGACGACCCGTCACTCCACGAGACGCATCCGAAGAGTCGGGTTGCTTGGGAGTGCAGCCCCAACATGGGTGGTAAGCTCCATCCAAGGCTAAATACGGCCAGGTTTCCGATAGCGAACAAGTACCGCGAGGGAAAGATGAAAAGAACTTTGGAAAGAGAGTAAAAAGTGCTTGAAATCGTCAGGAGGATAAGCGCATGAGCCCAAGCAAACCTGCGGGCCCCGTTCGCGCGGGGCCCGGAGGTACGCAGCGCCGGTCGATGCCGCGGGAAAAGGAGCTCGCTCCCACCGCGGCGGAGACCGAGGATGACCCTCACGGGTCGGCGCTGGCGAAACGGGCTGATGCGACCCGTCTTGAAACACGGACCAAGGAGGCCAACGCGGCTGCGAGCCAATGGGTTGGAAACCACAATGGCGACAGTGAAAGCGACCCGTGAGAAGGCGGCCTCGTGCTGCCCGCACCACGGACCGCCCCGGGGCCTCGGCGCCCGGGGTGCGTTGAGTAGTCGCGTTGGGACCCGAAAGATGGTGAACTATGCCTGAGCAGGGCGAAGCCAGAGGAAACTCTGGTGGAGGCCCGCAGCGCTACTGACGTGCAAATCGTTCGTCAGACTTGGGTATAGGGGCGAAAGACTAATCGAACCATCTGGTAGCTGGTTCCCTCCGAAGTTTCCCTCAGGATAGCTGGTGCTCGATACGTGGTTACGTCTGGTAAAGCGAATGATTGGCGGGCTCGGGGGAGAAGCTCCCTCGACCGACTCTCAAACTTTAAACGGGCGAGGAGGGCCGCCATCTTAATTGTGGCTGGCTTTCAGGGGTGCTGGCTGACCCCACCAACATGAGTGCCAAGTGGGCCATTTTTGGTAAGCAGAACTGGCGAGGCGGGATGAACCGAAAGCCGGGTTACGGTGCCTAACTACGCGCTAACCTAGATCCCACAAAGGGTGTTGATTGATTAAGACAGCAGGACGGTGGTCATGGAAGTCGAAATCCGCTAAGGAGTGTGTAACAACTCACCTGCCGAATCAATTAGCCCCGAAAATGGATGGCGCTCAAGCGCGTGACCTATACCCGGCCGCACCCGGCTGCTGGTGAGCCGGTGCGAGTAGGAGGGCGCGGTGGGATGCATCGAAGCGTGCGCGTGAGCGCGCGTGGAGCTCCCGATCGCTGCAGATCTTGGTGGTAGTAGCAAATATTCAAATGAGAACTTTGAAGACTGAGGTGGAGAAAGGTTCCATGTGAACAGCAGTTGCACATGGGTTAGTCGATCCTAAGAGATGGGGTAACTCCTTGAGAACGGCGCGGTTCTCCCCGCGCCGCCCATCGAAAGGGAATCGGGTCAAAATTCCCGAACCGGGGACGTGGCAGCTGGCGGCAACGCGAGCGAATCCGGTTACGTCGGCGGGGCTCCGGGGAAGAGATGTCTTTTCTTTTTCACAGCTCGATGGCCCTGAAATCGGCTTGCACGGAGATAGGGCCTGCGCAGCTGGTAAAGCACCGCACGTCTCGCGGTGTCCGGACCGCCCCAACGGCCCTTGAAAAGCCGGAGGAGCGAATACTGCTCACGCACGGTCGTACTCATAACCGCATCAGGTCTCCAAGGTGAACAGCCTCTGGTCAATGGATTAATGTGGGTAAGGGAAGTCGGCAAAACGGATCCGTAACCTCGGGAAAAGGATTGGCTCCGAGGGCCGGGCCCGGGGGGCTGCGCCTCGACGCCGCAGGCTGTCGGAGGTCTACCCGACGCCGGTTCACCCCGGTAAGGGCGGGCCCCGCGTGCCTGCTGGCCGACGGGCGCAGAGCGGTCCCTTCACGGGGACCCTCCCCTGGGCGGAGAGCGGTCGTCTCGGAACTGGCGCGGACAAGGGGAATCCGACTGTTTAATTAAAACAAAGCATTGCGATGGTCCCGACGGATGTTGACGCAATGTGATTTCTGCCCAGTGCTCTGAATGTCAAAGTGAAGAGATTCAACCAAGCGCGGGTAAACGGCGGGAGTAACTATGACTCTCTTAAGGTAGCCAAATGCCTCG